AATAAGAACTGCAGCCCACTGTGCAGAGACAATAAGGATTAAAACTGATTCCATAGCTCCAGCTTTTTTTTCCACTGAGAGCTGGGACATTGTTTGCTCCTGTCCCTTTCAACACCTTCATCATCATCATCATCTGACAAAAAATTTATCACCAGCTCTGCTACTGATAGTCCTGCAGCAGTGATTTCTGCTCCTGTCATCACATCAGCCCCTCTTTGTGTCAGCACACCTTTCAGCACACGTCTGCTTACTGCTCACATTTCAGTGCTAATTTCCTCAGTGACCATTAACTTCCACGAGCACAAGATGCAGGATAAAATTGGAGGCACAGCCGGTGGCTTTTGGGTGAGAATGTCTCGATATCTGTTTCCTCTCAGCACTCTCAACATCCTCATGGGTGCATGTGCTTCTTGTTTCCGAGGGTGCTGGCTGTGACGAGCAGCTCCAAGGAAGAGCTGGGAGCCAGATCTCAGCTGTCTTCAGCTCACACTGATTTCTAGACTCCTACAGATTTCCCACAGAGGCTTGATAGCTAGGAATTTATGCTGACTGTGTTAGTCTTGCTTTTCTCATCTGCCTTTTGTCACCTGCCTTAGTGGACAGACTGGAAACGTCTGTAGAGTCTCTCTGTTTCTCATGGGCATGGCCCTAAGCATGTCAGAGGAGGGACTGTGTCTCAGGATGGGCTATCCCACCTCTGGGCTTCTTTCCCCCTTGCTCTGCAACACTTTTTAATAGATGACAAACTTTTGGCATCACATGCCAGACTCCTGTGATGGCCACATTTCCTCATGTGTGCCACGGCTCATGTGATGGCAGCATTGCTCTGATGATGAAGGAGCAGAGTACAGGCAAAACAACCTCCTCAATTCCCTGCTTTCTGTACATCCAAATGGGAATTTACAGGGAACAAAAGTCAACCAGGAACTGTCACAGCCATGATCCAGGCTCCTGACTCTCTGCACTCTTCTCCTGTGGTGTTTCAGAGCAGAACGTGGAGCAGAGGATTTGCCTTGTTCATGCTTTGCTCTGGGTTTGGTTTCTTGGGTAAAAGACTAAACCTCACCTTGAGTGCTCCCAAACAAGGGGATGGGGAGCAGGTGCTCAGGATCTTCTGCAGGCAGGTTCCAAATACTCACTGGAAATTACATGTCAGTTCGAGTTACTGGAACTGCTCAGCACAAACTGCAGCTCAGGACATTGACATCAGCTGTTGCAAAGACACTGTAAGGATTCCTTTCCCAGCAAGGATGAGAGCATTCACAGCAGCTCAGAGAGTTGTTTCTTGCTTTAAAATGACCCAAAAGGTAGATTTAAAGTGAAGGAAGGAAAAAATAAAAAAACAGCCTGCAGGGAATCTTGCTATTCCACAGGAATTCTGGAGCACGGTTTACTTTTGTTATTTCCTGGGGCCTTGTTCCATCAGTATTTGCTTTTTACTCTTCTTTGCTCTCAGTCATGGAAATGGACATCTTGATTAAAGCTGTTCTTCCAGTGAGGAGGCAGAATGCAGCATCATTTAATCTGAGACTTTTCATTAATATCTCAAAGCAAAAAGAAAAAATAAATTCTCCATGAGTTAGCTATTAGACTAAAGAATTTATTTTGATTATGGCTTATTGAGGGGGCTCACCATTCCTGGTTTTATGTTTGTCTCTTCCTGGTTTCCAAAGGGGTGCTGGGTTTGCTTTCAGACTGTAATCACGTTGAATGGGGAGAGGATGGAAAGATGAAGAGGAGGCAAATCTTAGCACGTGCCTTAAGCTCCACTCTGAGCCTCCAGCTGGGAGCTTCACTTTAGAGAGCAGAATAAAAATAACTGAACACTGGGCTCAGTAAGGGAACGTGATTAAGGAATTGGCAACTGACATCTTGAGATTTTTGTTATCTTTTTTATTTCTGCCATTTACTCTTCATTTGCTAGTGGAAAGCAGGTAAGAAGTCCAGAGGGGAGTGAGCACCCCAGGGAGCCTCAGGTCAAGGAAGAAAGTTGTCCTCAGCCCAGCCCCCAGCCAGGCAGGTCTGGCAGCTCTGTGCCAGCCCCAGGAAAGGCTGCAGGGCAGAGGTGCCCTGAGACCCAACACACAAAGTTAAAACATCCAGAGCCTGGTCACTGCCAGCCCAAGTGAGGTTTGGGACAACATGGGCATGAGATCAAATGCAGGAGCACGTCCCAGGTACCAGCACTGGCCTTGTACCTTCAGCCTCCCCCAGTAAATGTCATTTCTCCCCATTGCAAACAGCAGACTCCACTCGTCTTCCCATGGGAACATCCCACATACCCTTTCCCGTTTACACAATTTTTTCCTTCCCACCCTTCAAAGAAGCAGCATTTATTTGGCTTTGGTTGTAAGCAGAGCTTGGATGGGTTTATGAACTCTATGCCTGAACCCACAGACAATTAAAACATGGCTGGCTGCCTGGCTTTGTTAATTAGCTACCAGCAATGCTTCATTTTCCCCTCTGTGGTTTCCTTCTGAATTAGTAGGGCACTGCTCATTAGTTCTCTTCCTCTTTGGGATGCCACAGTTGAACATTATGGCATCCAGATATGCCAGTGAGCTGAGAGTATAAGCTTGATTTGTTTGGACAATAAAAAAATGCTAGTTGCATTTAGATAATTAAACAAAATAACAGCAAAGCTATTTTGTACTGTTGCAATCTGCCCTTCCTTGTCCCAGTGCTCCATTTTCTTGTTTTTCCATCTGCTGGAAACAAAGACTGGAGTAAGTGTCCTCAATAATTTCTTGGTTTTACTTTGAATTATTAAATTTCTCTTCCTCTAAATCTGGTTTGGTCTAGTGGGTGTCAGCTGATGGGACAACACCCTGGCACTGATGATGTGCAGCAAGTCAGCACATGGCAGATTTGACTCAATTCAACCAGAAATTGCACTTCCAGCAACTTGATGCTTATTTAATAACTTAACACAAAATAACAGCAGTAGCAACCAGGGTGGTAAAATAATGTTTTATTCCATGAATGAACAAACACTACCATGCCACATCCTAAAGTTCTTTCTACAAAAAGATTGTGGACAGAGCAGATTTTTACATTTCTCAGTTCAAGTTCATTTCAGGCTCTCGAGCCTGTTCAGCGTAGCAAAATCTGGACACGCAGCATTCTCATGGTCTATTTGGCATTTTGCCAGGTAAAGCAGATTTACACCGTAGTTCTTGTTCACACAATGCCGATGCACTGCAAATTAAAGGAGATAATCCCAACCAAACCAGGTAATTTCTGTGGTTTATCAATATATTTTTTTTCATGATGGTCAAAGTACAACCAACATTCAAAGCTTAAAATAAAGGTAAGAAAAAAGACACACTAAAGAACACAATGGAAACATCATCATTGCTGCCAGGGTGTGAGTTTACCCACTGTACTATGTAAAAGGTAGGAACCGGCATTGACATTCAAGCTGTTAAAACAAGAAAAGAAATTACATTAATTGTTATATTTCCAAGCTAGTGCTTCTAAGGAGTCCTGATCAGCAAAGAAGTGTTACTGCATGCATGTCGAACACAAGACTAATATTGGATTGGGGATCTGACAAAGAGCTGACTTACATTCCTTTATATACAACAAAATGAAATATACAGTATTAATACTGGCTGTACATTTGGTCAGAATATTTTACAAGGAGCGACACTGTCAAAATTCTTATGACGCAGAACGTGGAAATGGATGGAGGTTGGATTCCTTTCTGAGAGCTGAATGTTTTCAGAAGTTTTAAAAGTTGCTTTCCACTGCTAAAATGAACAGTTAGACCTTTTAAAGCAAAAAAAGCCTCCTTTTGTTTTTTTTTCTCTTTTTCTTTTACGGTTGTCAAAATTAGCGTAAACAGAAGAGATAATTAAATGTGTTTGGAATATGCTAATCATTGACCTGGAATAAAACTAAGCCACAGACAGCATGTGCAATGACTCTCTGCACATTGCTTCTGTTTAAATGGCTTTATAAGATGATCTGTGAGGTCTCTGGTACAAATTCCTGTACCACAGCCTCACCTAGCTGTTCCCTAGCAGGTTACCAACCATTTGTTCCAACACAAAAGAAAGAATAATCATGACTGTCGCATATTTTTCTACATTGCAATAAAAAATATTTCAATGTAAGCTGATTTAGCTTATTTATGTGCATATTTTTCAAGGCTGCCAAAGAAAATACTCAATCCTGCTTGCAAGAGCTATTTTGGGAACTCAAGAGTGAGTTTTTCTTTGCTTTATTTCAATAGATTTTTTAATATCTGGGTAGCTCAAGTCCCATTGCCTCATTAGACCCCTGAAGTCTAAAGTGAGTTGCTTAATTTGTTTTATGTTTCTTCCCCATCCAGAACAAGCTGAGAAGCTAATAAAGTAAGCATGAGACCCAATGAACAACAGAAGCAAAAGCCATACAGAATTAACAAAATAATTACAGGAAGGTAAAGATCGGTGTAACTATAGTGATATTTTGCACAATTGGATTTGTGTATCCTTCAGCAATGACAAACCTCCTGAAGATGGAAAAGAGCAGGCAAGTGTATGAATCTGTATCCTTTAAAATAATTGTGCTATAATCTTCTCCATGTATTAGATTAGATTTTTTTTTCTGACACAGTGTGATGCTAACTATAGTAACCTTAATGTGGATGATGGATTTCACTGCTACTGCTTGACTGCTTGACTGCAGAGACATTAAATCTTCCAGTCCTCAAAGTGGTTTCTTGGGGTGCTCCTTCAAGTTCAACGTCTTACCATTTTCACTCTCGAAGTCGTTTTGTGGCAAACAAACAAAATAAAAAGAAAAAACAGAAAAAACCCACAAAAAACCTAAAGAAAAATAAGATGTTGGTTGTGATGGATTTATTTCAGACAGCAGTTTCTGCTGAGTTCACCATGCTTAATGTTCTTCCATTTAGGAAGGAGTTGCTGTCAAGTAAAGCAGAGGAGCTGCTTTCAGTTTTTGTTGGTTTTTTTTGTTGTTGTTGTTGTTGTTTTTTTTCTCTTTTTTTTTTCTTTTTTTTTAAATACATGCTAACAACATATCTTTCTTCAGGAAAATGATCCAGTTGCATATTGTCAGAGAGATCTGCCTTGTGCTTAGCACGGACAAGTAGTGTTAATCATCCTCCTCCTCCTCTTTCAGTGGGGCTAGAGGGAGTTTGTCTGGAACCTGGAAACACTCCACAAAGAAGTTGACAATGGACTGGTACAAGTGCTGCTCAAATGCTGCATTGCTGAAGTAATGGCTTTGATCAGGGTAAATCTGCAAAAAAAAAAAGACAAACAGGTAAACACACACCTTTTAGAGCTTAAAGTCTCAGGACTGACCACCCACACCAGCAGCTTGAGCTGCAAAGCCACTGCATCTCCTCAGCATCATAGGGCTTCCCATGGATGCTCCAGGGTAATTTGGGCACCACAGGGCTCTGAGTGCAGACTTGCACTTCCTTCACAAATTATTTCTTGGGGCAGAGGATTTTCCATTTAATTCCATTCTGAACAGGTTCAGTCTAAGAAGAACCAGCTCACACTCCTTGTGGAAACCAAAAAAAAGCACAGTTTTGGAGAGAAATGGCATCAGGTTATACTGACTAAAGTTAGGGCTTTAAAGAAAAAATGTCATTAAGTTAATTAATAAATATTGCTGGAGAAGTAATTAAATTGAAAAAAAAAATTGTGAAGCCAGAAATGAAATAGCTTAAACTCAACTTTTCATTTAAATGGAGCTGGTAACTTGAAGAAATGTAGGAGGATCATAATGGGTTTTCTAGGCAGGGATGCTAGGGTGGGTTTATTTTGAAAGACTTAATAGCTTGGACATGGACCATTCAGGAAAACAGAGAAATAATTGTGTGGAAACTGGAGCTGTGCCATTCACAGTAGGATGCCAGATTTAAGTGACACATATCTTTGTAGCTTTTCTGTTTGATTTAATTTAGAGCCCTGTTTCCCCGAAATTCATCTTGAATTTGTTCTGTTGTTCCCAAAGAGAGTCAACAGGCATAAATTCCTTAGAGACATTTCTCTCACAAACTAATTTTCTGTAATCCAGTAATTTTTCTACAAATGTCCAGACCAAAACACTGATGTCACATAAGCATGGGACTAATAGAAACATGCTATATGCTGGTGCTATTTCTACTGCCAGGCTGAGTTTGCAAGTGGTTTTTCAAACCTTGCTTCATAACAGCAGTTTGAGTTCAAATAGGGAAATAACTGTTCAAATAGGAAAAAAAAGAAACATATACTGTACCTGCAAGCTGTAATTAGCCTTTGCTCTAATTAGGTGTGTGATAAGGTCCGTAGTATGCTGAAAATGGATTTTTTCTGTAAAAACAGATTGCAATCATTAAAGAGACAAATTTAATTAACAAAAATCAAAGCTATCACAAACATAATGAGCTCAAATGATGGGCTAACTTACCATCAGCAGTAGCATGAATGATCAAAAATGTCTGTTCCTTTAGTAATGAGACTCTGTGTGATAATTTGCTGATCTGTGAAAGTAAAGGTTGCAATAAGATTAAAAAACTTGCTAGAAATTAGCAATTTATATGGAGGCAATAGAAGTGCTTATTTCCATTGAATACTTTATCACCAGGATAACAAGCAGACACCAGCACAGCATATTCTCCTGGCTACTTATATAAATCTAGAGGTAAAACAGACCCTCACTCTGTGCTGGCAGGACAGTGTCAGCAGCAGGAACATGTCACAGACCCTCTGTTCTGATAATGTTCAATAAAAGCCTGAACTGCAGAATACATGGGAAATATCAATGTGAATAAAAAACACTGATGAAAAGTGTGCCCAGGTGCCTATGCCCAAGAACAATTCATGGATCTGGAGGGACTTTGGTGTGGTTTCAAAGCCAACCTCAATGAGTTTTGACAGCTTGAGGGATTATCTGAAATTCAAGTGTCCACTGCTGAGAACAACTTTGCCCCATCTGTCTTTCAGATGCAGAATAAAAATACAAACAATTTCTAAGAGAACAAAAAGCTTTTGCACTAATGTAGAGATTATGAGTGCAAAATTTGAGAGACAATGAACTCAGAGTTTAGGTAACCAGGATAAATCTTCCCTTGTGAGGGCACAGGGTGGTATCTGCTTTCTCTGTGAGAACAGTGCCAGACTTCTGCTGCCTCCATGCCTTCTGGCTGGAGACATGGCTTAGAAGCTGAACTAGATTTTCTTTATAACAGTTTTTTTTTTTTTTTAATGTGACTATTCTTTATCAGATTTTGCCTCCAAGTAATTTCAGCACAGGATCCAACTGATCCCATCATGTGTATTAAACAATGTCTATTAACTGGTGCTGTGTTTCCTTTTCCATGTCCTCAATTCTGTCACTGCCTATCTGAAATATCACAAAGTTTGAGAAAGTCAAGCTGAGTTTCACTTGAATTTGTTAATCTCAGAGAGAATCAAAGTGGCAAGACCAAGGGCAAGAACTTTCAAGCAGGTCGTGACACCGTGTCCTCTTGGGCACATCTGAGTCACTCAGATCTTTCAATCTCTAAAACTGTATTTACCCAATTTAGAGAGGCAGACACGAGGGCCAATCAATAAAAAACTTTATCCATGATTACTATTAAGACAGAAAAGCAGTAAGCAGGCTGAAGGACACCTTCAGAGCTTCACTAGTGAGTCCCTCTTGCAGATCCTTGCTTCCTCCCCAAAGGAGAACACATGGAGGGAGGGTTCAGTTCACATTTTATCAGGGAAATGCAGTGTCCATGCAGTTACCTCGTATGCTCTGTTATCAACCCCGTGCAAGCCCAGGTATCTTTCAGAAAAGGCCGAAGCTTGAAGAGAAAAAATGAAAATATCACTTTCAGTTATGAATACACTGGTGCTTCTGAGTTAAATATTGCAAATGCTAAAAAAACACCTTATTTTCTAACATGGCCTTAATTACAGAGGATGTATTTCTAAAATTTTTTGAAAATGCATTAAGGATATGTGTGATACCACAGTCTGTCATCATCACCATGTACTTCTGGTCTTTAAACAAGTCACAGAAAAACTTTTTTTTTTTTGGGGGGGTGTTTTTTTTTGTTAATGCACGTGAGATAGAAGAGCTCTATGATTTTCACTGGCACTAAGTGCCAAGGGAAGTGCTGTCCCTGAAAGGACCAGCATGTGCAGGGTAATGCTGTTCCAGAGGCAGGATGGGCCAGGCAGACAGGACCACAGCTTGCCTGGATGGGTGCAGGAAGGAAGGAAGCACGTTCAGGGCAGTGGGGGTGATTGGTGGCAAAGGCTGGAGGGGTTTAAAGACAATTCCCCTTTATTTAACAGGAGTAATAAAGTGATTTGATTACTCTGACTACCATGGCTGGTCCCACTGGTGCCAGCTAAAATGCTTTAGTGGGGAAAAAGGGTTTATGGCTACTTCTAGAAAGACACAGAGTATAAACCAGGCAAGATGTTGGGAAAGAAAGATGGCAAGTGGAAAAGGATAGGGAAGAAACATCATTTGTGGTCAGTAGGAGGAATGGGGTTTACCATATAGTCTGAAGTCTGTCACTGGGGAAAGAGCAGCTCCACAGGTGAACACCTGGTTGTCTTCACCAGCTGGCAGCATGTAAGTGCTCAGGTAACCACCATAATCCTGGAACAGAGAGGGGACAGGGGTGTCAGGGCTCCTGCTGGGAGGCACTGCTGCTTTTGGGTACAGAACCAGGGCAGTTGAGACCTCGCAGCAAATGCTTGGCCATTACAGAGCCTTTAACACCTTGCCCTGGAAAAACACAAAACAAGGGACATCTCCACATGGCTGGCATCCTTCAGAAGGCAGGAGGGTTGTGTACCCAAGAGCTGGCCTTTTTCATCTTCCTTAATGGCTATAGCCCTAACCAGATATGCTACCTCTCCAAAATGTTTACCCCAGACTTTGTGCGTTTAAAAGGAGGATCACAATTTCTGCAGCATCTGCTGCCAGCCAGTTAACAATTCCCTGCAGAGATGCTGCTGTACGTGCAGATCTCTTCACACTCACTCCAAGCCTTTGTCTCCCACAGCAAACAATTTCTACTTACAGCCCCACTCTCATCTCAAACTGTGTGTACTTTACAGTGGCTGTTTCCCAGCCAGGCACACGTGGCAAATCAGCCTCAGAAATCCACAGTGTTGTTGTACATGAGTTAGATGTACCCATGTTCCCATAGGCTTTAGGGGACAAGGTGAAAATGGAATGAAAGTGCAATGGGAGAAAATAATGAACTATCTGATGGCATTTTCTGAGCAACAGTCACTTTTTGCACTTGGAAGTTAATTTAAAAATATAATTGACGAATACATTGGTGAAATGAAAGCTTACACCTTTAACATCATTGAGCAAGGTACAGTCTATCTCCAAAAAAAAAATAATAATAAAAAAGTAATCACTGACATATTCAATAAGTTAGCTTATTGAAGCACAGCTGTTTAGCCATTTCAGCCAGCTGGGACAGCACAGAGGAGCAATGGCCAAACATTACCTTCCCAAACACACCAACTCTTGTTTTATCAATGAAATGCTCCTGCAGCATTGTCCTAGAACATGAGAGAGGAAAAGCATGGGTTAAAAATATTTTTCTCTTCAATAGCAAAACCAGTGTGATTTTCATCAGTTTTACATTAAACTGGCCCCAGAAAAATTCATAGAATGATTTGAGGTGAAAGAGACCTTAAAGATCATCCAGTTCTGACCTCTCTGCCATGGGCAGGGACACCTTCCATTATCCCAGGTTGTTCCAAGCCCCATCCAACCTGGCCTTAGACACTTCCAGGGATGGGGCATCCACAGCTTCTCTGGGCAACCTGTGCCAGTTCTCATACCTTCACAGTTAAGAATTTCTTCCCAATATCTAATCTAAACCTGCCCTTTTTCAGTTTAGAGCCTTTCCCCTTGATGCAGGCAATCTAAATCACACTGGTCCAGGCTGCTTTCACACGGATCTGTCTGATTTAATCTTGCAACCTCATGTGTTGGATTTGACCAAGCAATGGCAACAAATAACCTGCACTACCTCTGGAAGCCATAATAAGCTATTGCACAGCTATTGCAATACTCTGATAGTGGTTTTAACATGATTATGTGCAGAATAAATCTAACAATATGACAGGACTTGACATTTAGGGTTTTGCCCTGGCTATTCTGTTAAAAAGTTTAAGGATTTAAAGATGGATTTTTTCCAACTACCAGGCAAGCAAAAGATTAATGTAGGAACAGAAATTCAAGCTTGCTTGTTTGTAGCTGTATGACTGTACAGAGCTAAAAATAAATAGGCTTTGAACATGTGATACAGATAAGTGTGCTCTAATTTAGCTCTGTTTAAGGCTTGTTTTTCTCCCTCTGCTCTGGTTGACACGAGCTCCCTGTCACAAGCAGTTGCAATTGCACAGCTCCATTGTCTCTCCCATCTCCTTGCTCTACCCCGCACACCATTACAGCAACCATCACTAATGAGTCTCGGGTTAATTATCGTAATGAATTAATTCCTCCAGTAGCAGTGCCACTCACCGGACAGCTTCCAGCTGATCCTTCTCCTCCAAAAGGCCCAGTCTCCTCCTGACCTCGTGCAGTAACTTGGCTCCCTGGAAGCCGCTGCCGCGGCCGTCGAACTTGAGCACGATGGCGCTGTGGGAGCTGACCATGACGCTCTCCCACGTCACCTCAAACCTCTCCGTCACGATCTGGCTGCCAGGTGTCCCATCCCTGCCACAGAAACGGGCATCAAGGATGGGCAATGGCACCAAACATCCTCCCCACGGCTGGGGGATTGCTGTGGGATGGCTGTCACGTTTTATCTTCTTTTTGCCAGGGTCGGGATTAAGTGCGCGAGACAGTATTTCTCAGATGTTTATTAATTCTTATCTATATTACAGTGAATTCTACAGAACTCCAAGCTAACGAGATAAAAAATGGCTTCTATCTCTCTCTCTACAAGGCCTTTTAAGGATAAACTGTCCAATTAAGAAATTACACCTAAATTATTTTTACTTTTAACCTGATAACCAACCACCCATGGCCCACAATGCGGAATTTTCTATCCAATTACAAAATACCACCTAGACCCATGAAGAAGGTTAAAAAGAAGGAAACCTCCACCCTAAAACTTCCATCTTGCTTTATATTTATACTACTATATTCTAAAACCTTAAACTCTAATTTTTCCACCATGTGATATTACACACTTCTATTCAAACTACAGACCCATAATCCTAGTTCTATCACTTAATTTTGGAAGCCTTCTCCACAGCCTCAAGTCAAATGCAGTGTTCTCCTGGGGGTCAGTGTCTGTCAGCACAGAAAGCCTAAAATTCTCAGTGACCAGGGTTCCAACAGATGGGGACCCACAGCCCCATCCTGCAGGGTAAGGGAAGGCAGATTTCTGGAAGGAGACACCAGTCCCTGCAAAGATGGAATGCAGGAGGATGATTGTGTGGGATGGGTTTTGGGGCTGGGTGGAAGCTGCAGGTTGGTTTCTGCCTGCCTCTGTGCACAGCAGCCTCTAAGCTGAGGTTTGAACCCCACCAGCAAGCACATCTCTAACTGGCCAGGATTCCTCCTGTGAGTAACCAGGGCAGTGACACAGGCATCAGTAAAGTTTTCCCTTTTTTATGCCTGCTCTAATGTACATCTATTTTCTATGTTTCCCAAAGCTCTTTTTTATTTTCTGCTGTAGTGGTTCTGTCAGCACTGCTTCACGCAAGTACAGAGGGAAAGGACTCCTCTAAAGTTACAAAAAACACCTTAATAATGCCCAGTTTGGCCCAAAATTGGTGAGAAAGGAAAAGGAGTGGGCAAGACCTCCTCTTCACCCTTCTGCTTAGGGTCTGATCCTGTACAGGGGAACTATCTTGAGAAATACAGACTCTACTTCAGCCAGGCAGCTCAGAAAAAACAAGGCATGATGATGATAACTTTAAGCAATAATTTAGGGCTGGGATTACTGTAGAGCCACTGGCATTTCTGTCCACTTTTTTGTCGTTTTGGGGGCTCTTAGAGACACCAGGCACTTCACTGCAGGACTTTAATGCACATGTGACTCCAATCATGTGCATTTACCCAAGCCAGACCCTGGCCCACCCAGCTCCAGAGGCAGATTAATCAAGTGATGAGAGCCAGTCTTCCTCGAGCACTTGGATAATGAATCACATTTTCTCCACTGTAATTCCATGACGTAACAACAGCTCCCTGCAGTGGCTTTGCCCCTCATGGAGAGCTGTGCAGGGTGGCACAGGCATTCACCAGGCATTCATCCCTGATTTTCTCTCATGGGATGTTCCCTGGCAGGCAGCAATGGATGCACCGGGATGCAGCCAGGGCTGAACAGGTTCGTCCAAGGTCAGTGAATTCCCTCACACAGTTTCTTTCCAAATAGCCAAAAAACCCCCTCAGTAATGTGTATTATTATTACTAAATGTTGCATAAAGAAATTCCCATCTGCTCTGCCCGCCAGGAGGAAAACCTACCTATCTAATAGAAATGCTAACTTCGTGGAGATATTCAAAGGTTTCCAGCTCTCTCTTTACTGTCACTTCAGCGAACACCAGCACTTACAAGGGAATGATTTCTGCATGAGGGCACCTAAAATTTAAGCTCTAGTAAGGCTGACTGTATTCCACTCTAAAATTACTTGTTAATCACAAGGTGGGTGCTCTAAGCACTGGGACAGAAAGCCAAAATACATCTTGTATTTCTCCTCCTTCTGTTTCTGCCCCACAAATGATTGAAGTGTACCTGAAACACCTTCACAAAATGCACCATTTACTTTGCAGGATTTCAACTGGGTGCCCTCCTGGGAGCTGAAAACCTTGGTCAAACACGGGAAAGAAGGGATGTACATCCGGCCTCTCCCAGCTGTGAAGTGAGACAGGGTAGGGACCAATGTGCTGCACTCTGGAATTCCTTATACAAAACATATCTTAAAAGTTCCTGATCATGGCCAAGGTTTCCAAGCTGCCCTGATAATGTGAATAGGAAGAAAAGACAAGAACTTACACAACCAAAAGCAAGGGATAGTGCGCGGTGTCCGCAAAGGTCGCCGGCTTCAAGATCTGCATTGGCAATCCTAACCAAAAATAAGAACAAATAACAACATGTCTTCAATGTGGGAATGCTGACATGATTCCTATCGATTTTTCTGGTGTTTTGGCCACAAATGAGTAGGAGCAAAATGGTGTTTCTTCAGAGACTGTGGCAAAAACCACCTTAGAAACACAGATGTTGCCAAAGAAAAGGCCCATATTGTGATAGCTGAGGTGACAAGAAATGTAAATGGGGAGTACAGTGTGAGCTGCTCAGTCATGCATTACTTTTACAGCATTCAATTAACATCTGTCAATAGCTATAATTTTGCTTTTTTGGCAGCTAGATGAGTGACGTAGACAAAAATCAATATTTCAGGGCAGCAGAGAAGGAGGAAAATTGGCAATGAAAATGGTAATTTAAAACCCAATTAAGTATGGTGGCTGGGGTAGAGAAATAGAATTATTTTGCTATAATGGTGTGAAGAAAAGGGAGAAACAAGTATTTTAATCCTCATTTCCAAAGGGTTAAATTTTGTCATAAATAGGAGGCAAAGGTACTGAAGCCCAAGTTGTTATACTGGTACAGAACCAATGTGAGGAAGGGATGTGATCACTAAAGCTTCTTTTAACTGAATGTCATTTCTGTGGCTTTGTATCAGTATCCAAAACTGCCTCCATACAAACACTCTCTGCATCAACGACAGCACATTTATTTTTGAAATGGTAACTACAATCTAGATTAGCAAAGGCCCAGCAATTAAATCGGTATTAGGAGCATTTTCAGCAGATTAATACACAGATTAGCAGCACGGTTTAAGTGGTTTGCTTTGCAATCGTTGCCTGACACTCTGCCTAATTAGTTATTCCATCTGAATGCTAATAGCTGCAAATTGGATCAATGGCCCAGGGACAGCCAAAAAGGCCCTTGCTTGACTGTAAATATTACTGAGTGCTATGTGCAGTGTTCCTAAGGCTGCTCAGCCTAAAGCTTTGGAAACACAGGGATGGCATAGCAGAATGGCCATGTGTCTGTGGCCAGTTTGTGTTTACTACACACAAGTATATTTTTGATTAAATGAGCAGAATTGCAATGAAGCCTGCATTTAAAAAATTTAGTATCAAGCTGAGTTATCCCTAATAAACTGCCAGTCTCACATGAGCTGGCTCATGGAGAGAAATATGGGCTCTTTACCCATCCTTTCCTGTCCATAAAACCTGGAAGTGCACGTCTGTTCCTGTTATTTTATGCACTGGTTTATGTTCCTTATGCCCATGTGGCAAACAGAACATTTTAGGGCCATTGTTATCCTTTTCAAATGGTAACCATCTCTCAGCTTTTGCTTCACATTTTATAACATCTGGAAATGGCTGAAATCTGTAACCTGGCCCCAGCACAGCTCACTGCTTTCACTTCACTGCCTGTGGCCTGAGAAATACACCCCTTCCTGGCATGGGGAACATTATGGGCCATGCTTTCAACCCACAGTCTTTGGGGTTTTTTTCTAGGGTTGCCTCCATACATGTAGGCTGGGATTTTGGGGAGCCTTTGTGCATCTCTGAGCATGTGGATTTTCCCCACATATCTGCTTACAGCCAGAGGAGATTTTTTTTTAGATTGTTTCAGGTACAACTACAGAGATAGTATTAGACTTTGGCTGTTTGCCACCAGGCTTTTCTGCCTCTCTTTTCTTGTCTCTCTCTTTCTCTCTCTCTCTTATATATAAATGTATGAATGATTATACAAGTGATAGAAATAACACACCAGCTGCAGGTGCAAACTGCTCCAATCATTTGCTTCCTTTACTCCAGGATATCTCCTTTGCCTTTTCTCATTAAGCTTTTATTTTTTTTTAAACTCCCCCAGTTCATATGGCTTTTTGAAGAATCTTGAGTGACTCCAATGGCCAGTCATGGGAGAGCCATCTTCATTCATTGCAGATTGGGCACTGAGAGGCAGCCACAGCTGTAGCCAGCAAGCACACACATTATCCCACTCCAAACCCATTTCAAATGACACACACACACACCCAGGGCAAATGCTTCCAACAATGGGGCACCCTACTGTGTCATTTCCTAGAGTGGCTTTTTCTTCACAAAGAAAGTTTTAGGAGGAAAAAAAATCTCCAACCCTATCATTTTGCCTTTCTTTAGCTGAATTCTCATCAAATTCTGCCTCTGTAATAACCTCCTTATGTAGCACATTCCAAGAGAGTGCTTTGTAAACTGTGTGAGTTTATTGAGATTCAAAGTAATTTTTCCTCCTGCCAGTCTACCCAGGATGGCTGTATCATTTCACAGCTATAGCAGTGAAAGAGAGAAAAATAAGTGAGAAGAAAGGTGCTACTTACTGTAATCATCTATCTTGATTTCCATGTATTCTACCTTAGGCATTTGCCTGTCATTTACAGCCAGCTGCACATTTTCATTTACCTCCAGCTCAAAAATTTCTGAAAGAAGAAGGACAAGATCACAAAAACTTTTGACACAGTTTGTGAAAATACATTTTATGATCACCTTGATATATATAAAAAAAGCTTCCTTCCAAACAAATTTCCTTCTAGTCCTCACAGATGTCTAATTCAGTTAAACCTTTGAAACCCCTTCCAAGTTCTGCATAGGCAAAAAGGCTATATTCCTGAAATCAGTGACATCCAGCTGATTTTTAGGAGGTGGTACTGTGTTGGGACACTACCATGGGCCAGACATCCACCCACCAGGCACAGGTAGATCTCACATGGAAAGGTCCTCAAGTCTGTGTCCAAGTTACACATCACAAATAAAAAGGGGAGGAGACCATGAGGGCTTCAGCCAAAGCTGTACTGCTGTGCAAGATAGAATCCATGGGAAGGAAAGCCATGGGGAGAGGAGAGTGGACAAAGCTCATACAAACCTGCAACGTCAGGTTTTGGAGCAGTCTTGATTTTTGGAGTATTTAAAAAAGTTTTCATTTTTGCTTGTATGCCTTACCCAAGAACTCTCTGGGTCAGAAATAGAGAATTCTTCTTCTTCTTCTTCCTGAGATTGAACCTTCATTCCCTCATCCTGGCCATGTGCTCTGCCTGCTGAGCCTCTTCTAGAAAAAGCAGCCACCTCCAGCACCAGAAAGAATAAGTCCTTCCCAGCTGATAGGGAAAGGGCCCCTCTTTAGGAGACACTTTGGGTTGTGTGTCTTACATGGTGGGAAATGTCCCCATGTGAGGGCAAAGATCCTGAGACCCATGGAGGGAGTATTCAAGGGCTGGGGTGAGTGAACCCTGCTCTGTTGCAGTGCTCATCCACCTGGCATCAGTCTGGCTGTGAACCAGGGGGATCCAGAGCATTTTCTCTGCCATGTGAACCCAAGGAGGGTGTGAGATTTCACACCACACTGTGTGTGTCACTGGCTGTAATTTCCCTTTCCAGACACACCGATAAATAGATATGTAACCCCAGCTCCTCAAATAACACTTCTGGTACCTGATTATCCTGCTCTCACTGCCCATCTCTGCTGGGCAGGCCCACAAAAGCTTGCCCTTCCCAGTTAATATATTTCAGAGATCAGTAGTTATTCATTCAGTGACTATTCACCCTGCTTCTGCAAAGCCTGGCTCTTCATCAAAGCCACAACCCCCACAAAAGTGGCAAAGCAACAGCCTATTACATTTAGTTAAATATTAAGATTCTCATTTAATTATGGCACACACAAGTAGCTTTATCAGCAGAAAGTGGCTTGTCACGTAGGGGAATTTAGTCAAGCCTTTTTATTTGTTCATATAATTGCATTCACAGAAAGCCAGGAAGACTGTGAAGGAAATAAAAAAGATTGGCATATCTCCTAAAGGACTTTCCTTTTTGCTTTAGGACCACAGGGAGCTTGAGTCTGTAGAGTACAAATGGTCATTGCTTAATTAAATGTAAGCATTCTCTAATATTCAGTGCAACTCACTATTATCAGATTATTGCAGAATACGAAGGCAAACTCCCTTTTATAGAGTGATGGGCTCATATTAAATAAGTAAATTCAGTAACATGCAACTGTCAGCTGCCCATTATTCAAAAGCAAAAGAATGAGGGGGGAAAAAGAAAAGAACCAGGGGAAATGGTAATCGTATGCAGAAGATCATGAATTTCAGTAGAAGATGTGTTCTGCACATGAGTAGATTGAGTTCTCTGTGTAACAGATGCTTCATCTGTCAAAGTAAAACTAGTCCTGGTGTGTTTTTTTTAGTTCTTAAAGCCTTTCATTTACTGTTTCTGTTTTATATTGTCTGTCATTTTATTCACCTAAAAGTATTTTATAAAACTGTCCAGGAGGGTATAACACCACTCATGAGAGCACTGTCCCATGCTGGCATAGCCAGTCAGACACCTCCATGTCTATGGTAAAATGAAGGTATTTTATTTAAAGGAGAGGAGAAAGAAAGTGACTTTGGAGCAGCAGGTCAGGGTGAAGAAACTCTCCTGGCTGAAGGGCCTTGTGGGCTGCTCTGGGTTATCCTTGGGGAGGGCACTGCCAACCTCAGGCTCTGCTGGGACAAAAAAGGACCTGACACTCCCTTGTGCTAAGAGCCTTTCCTGTGACACTCACTGCTTCCAGGGGGAAATGAAGCAGGTCAGCATTTCACAGTAAGTCTTTAGTATGAGTGCCAAGTTTCTTGGTTTGCAAATCCAGATAAGTAAAACTGATACTTGATAAACTGATATCAATTGTGTATAAAGCAAATAGAATAAAGGTGTTGCTTAGTACTGGGGTCATATCAGTGCCTGAAGTCCCTAACTGCAGTTAAGGCTGGGCTAAATTCTTTGTTAAAATGAAAGATGATGCTTTCCCCTCAAAATGATGGGAGCAGATAAATCTTGGTTTCATGTGAGACTCAGTGCCACACTCTGCCAGAGTGGAACCCCAGAAACTCCATGGCTTTTTGGACTCTACATTGCCAGTCTGGTAAGGGCTTTAAAGAGACCCAAATATTTTGAGGGAAGAAACCTGTTTTTGGAATAATTCCAGCTTTGCAGTGATGTAGATGCAAATCATTAGCATGACAAAGCTTTATCAAACAAAAAGTGCTGCAATCTCCATGGACAGATCAGGGAACCAGGCAGAGGCACCACTTGTGGGGCTCACTCCTCTGCATTATCTCTGATAATTCAGAGCAGAGTGATTTTATTAAAACCACAGATTAGGCTAAATATTTCTTGTATTTATCTTATTTTGTTATCTTTTTTTTTTCTTGCATATGGGATACAGAACAAAATCAGTGAAAGACTAACAAGAAGAGAGAGATTTGAACTATGCATTTTTTTGAGAAAGAGGATAACAAACATCAACTGGTGTGTTTTCCCCCCAAACAGCAGCCATTGTGATGGCAGTACAATCTATAAGTCCCTTTGCCTTGCAGAAAACTTGCATTTAGGCAGAGCCTGGGGTCCCCAGGAGTGTGAGTTTAGCAAAGAGCAGCTACATCTCACTGTCCTGCCTGGCTGCTTTTCTCTGAAGAGTTGCAAAGCTCAAGCCCGTTCTTACTCTGTGCATCTGTTGTGTTGTGAACAGTCACCATCGGGACACGGGGACCTTGAGAAAGAGAAGAAAAGAACTTGGTTACATTTCTGTCAAAGCACACACAGACACACGTGAACCTGGTTTTGAATTCCATGGAGCTGAAGGCTCTTGAGACTCGCTTTTCATGCAAGAGTAATCTAAAAAGCAAATCACCCCGGTGTTAGAAAGAGTTTATGACTAAATGACAGTACTGTAGACTCGAAGACATATGAGGTTTCAAAGCTCTTTCCCAACAGACCACTAAATGCATCCTTCCCTAATTTGTAAACATTATAATTAGCACAAACACAATTAAATCACTTGCCTTTAAAATTATTCTAATGACACCCAAACATCACAGCACAAAGCATTTACATTTTGTATGCTATGGATAAATATTGCTGTTTTGTAGGTTGTTTTTTTTTAATGAATTAAACACAAGCTTGGCTCTCACACTGAAAAAGGTCACATATTCTGTTGTAAAATGCAACATTTGGGTATTGAAATGAGTCAGTGTTATACAAAGAGGATTATCATTACTATGCAGTGTACACGAGTGAACCACACAATCCAGTGGCACAGGATGCTGCAGCACTCAGGATGCCACAGTTTTTACCACAGGATGCTGTAGGGTGCTTTAGTCCCTAGCTCAGTGATCTGGGTTCTTCTTGTTCAGAAAGCCATCAGGTGGCTGACTGATAGAAAAATGGGATGGAACATGAGATCAAGTTCATATTATGATTGTCAGCTTCTTTCTCCCTGTTGCAATCTGGTGACTGCTCTTGGAGAGAGGACACTGGGCCAAGCTGGGCTGACCCAGGACAGCCACCCACATGTTGCCATATGCACCCATACCAGTTTGTAGATTTTTCTTTGAGCCTGACAGTATTGCTCAGGATGGTGGAAGTAGCCCTGCAGTGATGAATGGTGAATTCTTCACCTCACAGACAGTGGATATCTTACTTTCCTTCCCTTTCCCCAGTGTAACGTGGCACAACAGCAGCAAGTGTGAACAGCTGGGCTTATCTGTGTGCCCAGCAAAGATCCCAAGAGCAGGGCCAGGAGGCTCCCACGCTGTGTGTGTGAGAAGATCCCAGAATCAGAGTATGAAGGAATCACCTGGGTTGGAAAACACCTCTAAGATCACTGAATTCAACCATTAACCCAGCACTGCCAGGCCCACCCCTAAACCATGTCCCTCAGTGCCACATTTGCTTGTATTTTAAATACCTCCAGGGGTGGTGGCTCTTTGGAAGAGAAATCTTTCCTAATATCCAATCTAAACCTCCCCAGGTGAAACTTGAGGCCATTTCCCTTATTCCTTGTGGGGAGAGATCAACCCCACCTGGCTGTACCTTCCTTTCAGGAGGCTGTAGAGTGATAGGATCTCCTGGAGTTTCTTCTTCTCCAGGCTAAACATCCCCAGCTCCCTCAGCTGCTCTTCACAGGATTTGTGCTCCAGATCCTTCCCCAGCTCCATTCCCCTCCCTGGACAGACTCCAGCCCCTCAATGTTTCTGTTGTGAGGACCCACAACTGAACACTGAATACCAAAAAAAAGCAATGTTCTTTAAGCTTCCAAAGTAAGACAGCTTTAAGAGACTGATACTCACTGAGATTTCAACCCTTTTAGGTTGCCTTCTTAAGCGCTTCAACCTACAAGCAAATCCTGTGGGATCATCACTTGTGCAATGGCAATTTGTGAAGGGCTGGCTGAAAAAATTCCCCTGAAATGCTGTAAATGGGAGTGTGCACACAAATGGCAACAAAGGCAGGTTCCTGTGAGCCATTCATACTGGTTTGAAATAAGTTCTTGAGAGCAAGAAAAGCTTTAAGGTGCTATAATTGTGTCAGTGATTTTCTCTGTGCTGCCAAGAACCCACATCCCATTGCAGACAGTCAAGAGTGTTTCATCCAGACCTCACCTATACAGAGAAAAGGCAGAAAAAGATTTTATTTATAATTAAGCTGACTAATATGGCAGCCTGATTTTATTTCCTTGTAATTGAGAATCTCCTCCCCTGACAATTCAATTCTTTTGTTAGCACCATTTTTTAGAATGCATGAAGGTGGATTATAATGCACTAAGGAAAACTGGTTTACTCACCAGGATTTAGCTGACTTTTCCTTTCTCCTACTGATATACATTGATATGCTGACCATATTTATTTATAAATCTGCCCTGCTTTTTTCCTGCAGTCCCAGAAGCCAGACTGCTGGAAAAGCAACAATCCTAATAAACACGGGCATGATAAAATCATCACTGAAAATAAAAGGAATCCTCCCAAATGGTTTCAGTTGGCGCTGGAGTAGTCCTTTAATTAACATCAAAATGCCAACAAAAAGAAAGGGATAAAGATAGAAATACAATGCATAGAATCCCTTTATTTTCTAATTTATTTTTCCTTTTTTTTTTTTTTGGGTTGACATTGAAAAAGCTGTGACAAACTAATAAATAAAGAGAAATTCAAATGTGTAGTTTAGAAAATAACATGTATTATATATTGTGTTAGTGTCTCACTACTAACTACTGTAACTCTGTTATCTCCCCAAATCAATGCTTTTAATCAAAGTCCTATATAAAGATATTCAATGTGAGGTAATATGAAATATCCTATTTTTAATATTTAATAATACATTTATTTATTATATATTTATATTAAATACATGATTTTTTAAAAAATATTGAAAATTACTAAGTGTCATTGACAAAGCAGATTTTTGACTTGCCTAATTTATATTTTTTAACAAACAAGAAAAATAGTAAAGACAGAAAACTACAGAGTAGAATCATCTTTGTGAGAAGGATTACTCTTAATATTAAATGTTCTCAATGATAATACCCCAGTTAAAGAACTTGTGAGTAGGCTGAAAGTCATCAAGAAGAAAAAGTCACTCTTTAGGGATGGCATAAATTGCTTATTTCAATGTCAGTTTTTAAAGTAAACCAACCCAGTTACATGCTAGACCGTGTCTTTTAATGCACACACATCAGAAGTCTTTCAACACTCACAAGCTGAGTGCCTAATGCCTGACAGGGATAGAAAGAATTCCTTGAAAGGGGTATTGTATATTCATTAACTGCCTCCTCAGCTTTATTTTTAAACCTGTGTTGGTGTGACAGTCCCATTACACATGCCATCTGCTAAATGCCATCCACTGTCATGGGTGGATCTGAGAGGGAAACCCAATTTGCTCAGTGAGCTGCTGGGAGCTGACAGGAGCAGGGCGAGGACATCCCCTGCTCGTGGCTCCTGCCTCCAAACGGGCTTTGATGGGGGCTCCTCAGCCCATCCTGCTGCTTCTGCTCTTTAATCTGCACTGGTGACCCCCTGTGTCCCCTGCCCCTCTCAGGAACCTTGTGAAATCTCTGCCTCTTGCTCCCAGAGCTCCTGAGAGTGTGGGAGCGCCGGGATCCTCGAAGGAGAAAACTCACTAGTGCTCCTTGAAGGATAAAACACAAAGTGCTCCACTTTAGGAAAATAAAGCAGATAATGAGCTGCTTTGCCCTTACCTTTGCCAAAGGTAAGAGAGACCCAGCTCACACCTTCTAACCTCAGGACTGTTCCCAAAATCACAGGCAGGCCATTCTGTGCAGGGTGAAGATGATGCTGTTGGATTTCTCGCCCCAGAGGGGTAGGTACAAGCAGGGCTGTGACACTCCCCAGGGTGTGGGACCAGAATTTTTAGAGGTGGCACCCTACAGGCCCCTGTTATCCCTCTCTGCATCCCTGTGCCAGCAGTGGGGTGGGGTGTGCTTGAATGCCATTGCAGGCTCCACTGCCCTCTCCTGCCTGCAGCATTGCACCAGCCAACTCCAGCGTCCTGACAGAAGTTTAAATGTTGTTTCTTTATTTATAGCTTAAGAGAAAGGAGCAAAACTGTTGACAGAACTTCTGTGTATAGACACACTCTGTATGTCACAGATAGCTGCATGGTTAATAATGCTGCACAAGACTCTAGTTACATGAATTAGATTTTCAATTAATACAGCTGAAATTCTGGGTTTATCATAAGACCTCTGACTTTAAAACCATTACTGTAATTATCCATGCAAGAAATAAATTGAGCTATATCACTATAATGACAACAGGCAAATTTATCACCCAGGAAGTGCTACCCATCGTCATCTGAATGGGCACAGAAACTCAGTGCCTCGGTAATTTGATAAGAAAGAGCACTGGTCATGGTTTTTCATAAATTTTTAAGCAGCTTTTATTATTATTTCCAAGAGGGTTTTGCTTAAACATGAGTGGAAAGAAGCAATTCTAGATATTTAGGTGATAAGGTATAGATTTCTAAAAAAAAAAAAAAAAAGGAAAATAATTTTAGAACCTTGAAGAAAATATTTGCCAGGCATTTGTTTTGTAATACTTTTTATATTCCAGAGTATTCCTGATGTCTTCATGATCTAAACAGCATAGGGAATTATAGCAGGTAATATAACTTTAAAATGAAAGTAGCGATTATAAAAAGAATATGAAATAAAACTGAAGAAAATCAAAATTATAAAAGTATTAAAACAGGATAAAAGGAGGAGCTGTCTTATTCTTCTCATCTATATTCTCAAAGGCTTCAATGTTGCAGATAATTTCAGACCAGAAGCTAAATTTACAGTGTGTAAACAATGAAAATTCAAATACTCTCTGCCAGTGCCACCAGCATATCTCTTAAGCACTGATGAATGATTTAAAAGAGCAGCTGCAAGCGATGGGAGCTGAAAGGGTCTGGCTCTGCACAAGTGAGATAATTGGCAACAGCCATCTCTGTGTACAGATTCCAGATCTCTTTATTTGCTAATCCATGAATTATTTATATGTGCTGCATAAAGTTCATATGTTGGGGTGATATTATCAGCCTAATAAATAAAGACATGGGGAGTTCTGTGAGCCACTGCTCACAATTAAAATATTTCTCCATTTGTGGTGTTTTCCAGCCGATGCTATGGACAGATGTTCGTGCTGTTTGCTTTGGCAACCTTGCTGACATAAACATCAAACAGATTTATGCTGCTATTCACCCTCCCCAAGGCAT